ATGATGGAAATAGTAGCAGCCACCCCAAAGGGGACCTAATCTACCATTGCCGGTATGGAGAGAGTGGTGAAATATCTACACATACACACACACACATATGTAACGTATAAAAATACATATACGTAAAATAACTTCCCAGGGGTGGTCTAGTAGTTGGAGGGATTGTGGAGGATTCCTTCCGAAGGTAATGCTGAAGTTGTGCTCTAAGAGGTGGAGGTGAGGAACAAGGGACAATCTGCCAAAGACACGGAAGCAGGGGATGTGACGGGAAAGGGCCATATGAAGAACTGATTCTGAAGGGCAGTGCCATCTGTCAGAAGGGGAGTTTGGCTCCCCATCTTTTCCAGGCCATGTATTGGGCCTAATCTTCCTCACGGTGTGTCCAAAGGGTTCAAGAAGCCAGCGCTGGGCATACAGTAGGTGCTTAATACATGCTCACTTGATGGCTCCAGGTGCTGAGGTCCTAGGCCAGGGGGGCTCAAACTGTACATTCTGAGCCAAAGGTTTCATTCTGGGGAGCCTCCTTGGCTCACCCCCTCAGGTAGGATTTCCCTCGGGGGAGCCCTCAGGTCTCATGAAGGAATTCAAAGCTAATATGACATTAAATACAATGTAAGTTCTTTCCAACCTGATGTCTCAGGATTCCTGTCCAAACTCACAAGTGGTCAGGGCAGCTATTTTCCCCTCGTAATATCCCCTTTCCTAGAAACCACCACAATCCGAATACCTCACCGTACCAACAACTGATGGGTCCTCGGCATCTCTGCTCCTGAGGGGCCTGGACTGTGCACTGGCCTGTCTTTGGGAAACCCAGGGCAGCCTGGCCTGGGAGCTCCTCCCCCTGGGCACTGCTGCTGGGTAGGGGTAGATCCCCACTCTTCTTTCCTTTGTGTTTCTCCTTCTGGGTTTCTGTGTGGGGGCAGTTTCTCCTCTTTTTCCAAGTTTCTGCCACGGCTCTTTCTGCACGTTCCTTGGTACAGACACACAAGAACCCAACTTCAGAAGCTGAGTTTCTGTCTGTACACGGCTCTCTCTTCCCAATCCCTTTCCTGCTTCCAACAACTTTTTGTAAAGTCAGACATAAGGGAATGAGGTAGTGTGGTCCCATGGAGAGAGGACTGGCTGCCCCTGGAGTCATCAGAGGATGTAAGTTCAAATCTTGCCTCTGTATGTGTTGTTTAGTTGTTTCCGACTCTTCCTAACCCCATTTGGGGTTTTCTTGGTAAAGATACTAGAGTGGCTTGCCATGTCCTTCTCCAGCTCGTTTACAGATGAGGAAACTGAGGCAAACAGGATGCAGTGACTTGCCCAGGGTCACAGTGCAGCCTTGGATAATCACAATCTCTCTGGATCTCATTTGCCTCTGAGGTTCCTGGTACTTGGAGATCAATGACCTGGCTCAGGGGATCCATTGACCCAGAACTTCCTGGCTGACTGACCTACCTCAGCCAAGACCTCCTGACAAAGGGAATCGCACTCCTTGTTTCATTCATTTGGGAGGAGCGGCTTCCCACAGTCCTCCGGGGCATGCTTGGGCACACCCACTCCCTTGGGTTTCACAGGTTCAGACTTCACAGTTCTGGGACTCTTGGCACTTGGCCCCTCTGACTGCCCTCCTACTGAGCCACCTTAGTGGTTTTGGGACCTGGGCGGAAGGTAAGACTGCTTCTCACTCCTCTCTGTGCATTTATAGTAAATGGTTTAGAATTGGCCCCCAAAATGTGCTGGGTCCTGCCTCTCTGCTACTTAAGTACTTTGGGGGAAGTCATGCCCTTTCCCTGGGCCTCAGTTTCCTCACCTGTAAAATGAGGGGGTTGGGCTAGATGAGGTCCCTTTCAGCCCTAGATCAGGGGAGCATGACTCAGTATCTAAAATGAACCTGGAGAGAACCTTGGGGAGCCCCTCCAGCCACCAGTCAGTAACACTGATTAAACCCATGTGGGGGGCTGGGCTCTGTGCTGGTCTGGGAGGGGACTGCAGTGGGGGAGGGAGGCCTGGGAAAAAGGCTGTCTCTGCCTTCACTGACCCCGAAGTAAAATGGAGCATTTCCTTCTGTGGAGGACTTAGGCAGCATCTGTGGCTTTGTCACCAGTGGGATAATGATCCTGTCCCATTATGGTTACTGCTCAGCTCATTACTACTTTGAAATTACTGTAGTTAAACTCATGATCTTGGTCTTTCTACTTACAGACTAAACTTCAATAGAATTAGTTGTCCTTGTGATGCCATGCATTTAAGAACTTAATCCTAAGAATGGACCCCAGAGGCTTCACCAGCCTGTCCTCCCCAGGAGTCTGAGACTCTGGGTCTAGCACAACCCAGGGAAGTTAGGTGCGCAGAGCCCTAGGCCTGGAGTCAAGAGAGCTGAGTTCAAATCCAGCCTCAGGCCCTTGCTAGCTTTGTGACCCCGGGGAAAGTCACTTCCCCTTTTTGCTTAGGTTTTCTTAATTGTAAAATGGGGATCATAAGAGCACAGAGTGGTTGTGAGACTCAGACCAGATAATGCTTGTAAAGCATTTAGCACAATGCCGGGCACACAGCAGGTGCTTAATAAATGCCTAGGGTAAGATGGGAGGGGGCCTGTTGGGGAGGTCCCATTAGAGCTGGGATGTATCTCAAGGTGAAGGTGGGAGGGAGGGAGGGCATGCTAGACCTGGGGGAGCCGACTTAGTCTTAAGTACTTATTAAGCACCTACTGTGTGCCACACCCCAAAGTGTGTCACACCCACTGTGTACCGCTCCCTGCTGGGGATGCAAGGAGAGTCTGCTGGCAGTTCCTGCCCTCTGGCAGCTTGCAGTGGCTGGCCGCACTAGGCTCAGTGGAGGTACCAGACGACGGCGCCCTTGGGTGGGAGGGGTCCTGGGTGGGCTCCCACGGGGGCTTCCCATCTGTGAAAGGGGTTGGCTGGCTGCCCTCGGGGAGCTTACAGTCTCCTTCGCGTACATTCCTCTCTGCAGCGGTCCGCGGCGGGGCTGGGGCCGAGGCACATTCCCTGGACTCCGGAGGCCTGGCCTTCACGCCCGGCTGACCGCGCTGTGGGACCTCGGGCACCGCCCTTGCGGTCCCTGGGCCTCAGTTTCCCTGCGCACGCTTCGCCCCCGGCCCTCTTTTGGCCCACGCCGCAGCCCGTAGCTGTCGGCCTACGACCCGGAAGTGGATTCTCCTTAGCAACCTGGAGCCGGAGCGGCGGCCGGAGCCGGGAGCAGCGGTGAGTGACCACCGGCCGCCCCGGTAGCCTGGGTTCCGCGGGGAGGGTGCCGGGGCCCCCGGGGCCGTCGACCCACCGTCCATCCGTGCCTCCCGCCGGCCGCGCTCCAGGCCGCTGGGCCCCGCCCCCGCTTCCTCGGGAGCCCTGGTGCGCAGGGGGCGTCTCCCCTCACGTCTGGCGCCCCCGACCCCGCCGCCGAGGGGCACGCGCCCCGCGTCCCTCTTCCCCCCCCACACCCTCTCCGGAGGGTACGCGGCCCCGGGCCCTCCGCGCATGCGCCCGGTGGGGGTAGGGAAGTGGGGAAGAGGCGGTGTCGCTCCCTCCGCGCATGCGCACTCCTCTCTCACGGCCTCGTGAGGTGGTGAGGAGCACGTGGTACCTCCACCACCACCCGCCTCCGACTGCTATAAATGGGGAAACTGAGGCCTCGGGAGATGACGGCTCTTGTTCTAGGTCAGGAAGATAGGGAGGGTGCCCTTGCCTGGAGCAGAACCCGGAAGGACGCACAGAGCACAGACCTCAGACCTCGGAGGTGGGGCTTGGGGGGCCTGGGTGGGCTTAGAGTCAGGGGGCTCGCGCCCCCTCCCATTAGGCTGGATGACCAGCCACGTGGTGGCCGTGGGCTGTCCGTGACTGGGATGGGTCGGGTGGAAGAGGCGGCCCTCGAGGTCCAACCCTGGGACCCTCTCGTACTCTCTCTGCCTCAGTTTCCCCCTCTATGAAAGGAAGAGGCTGCCCTAAACGATCCCGAAGGTCGCTCAGTGCGATGACTGTGCGCGCCTCCCCAGGACCCTCCTTCCTCCTGGGCTTCGTCCTGGGTGCCAGGGCCCGGTCAGGTCTCCTGGCCATCTCCTTGGCCTTTGTGGGGGTGGGCTTTTCTCTCGAGGCCCGGCGTCTGTTGGGGGCCCAGGGCCGCAAGGACACGCAGGGTTGTCCATCTTGTGAGAGGGCAGAGGTTCAGGGCTCAGCTGCCGCCCCCTCCCCCCCTTTTCAGGCTCCTTGCTCGCCTGCAGTCTCATGGCCCTGCCCTTCCTGCTCCATCCTCCATCCAGGGCATTTTCACTCTCCGTGCCTGGAAGTCGCCCCCTCCCCATCTTCACCTTCTTGTTTCCTTCGAGACCCTGATAAAAGCCCCCTTCTCAAGAAGCCTCTGCCGATGGTCCCTCCCGCCCTAGTTATCTACAGTAGGGCCTGTCTCTGGCTTGTGTGTTGTTTGTGGTTGTCTCCCCCTAGATTTTGAGTTTGATGACAGCCGGGACTTTCCCCCTTTCTTTCTGTTTCGGGGATTTAGCACAGGGCTTGACTTGGAAATTAGTTTTGCCTTGTGATTGAGTTTTTCCTTTCTCCTGGGCAGTGATGTGTCCAACGATTCGTCTGAAAAGGAAACTTGTTTTGGATTGCTTAGATTGCCGGATACATTTCCAGGAGATTGAATGTTTCAAATAGTAAACAGTGAATTTGGGAGAGGCTGGGAGTCTGGGGTCTTGAGGTCTAGTTCCAGCTCAGCTGGTCATTTCTTGTGCTACCTGGACAAGTGACTTTGCTTGTTAAGCTTCAGTTTTACTTGTCTGTAAAATGGGAGGGACAGATAGACTTAGGGCTTCTTCGCTTGAGGTGCATTAACTTTAAACATTTTTTTGGGTAACTATTTCAGTGTAATTAATTTCCTTTGTATTTTTTTTGTATTTTATTTTATGCATTTAAAAACGTCCAGACTGCCAGATGGGTCCAGGATGCAAAAAGGGTTGAGAAGCTCCCCTGTCCTGGATGACCTCTTAGGGCCTTGCCAGCTGTGATCCTCTGAGTCTCAGATCCACACATTTACTCCTTTGTCTTCACCACCTTTGGGAGGAAGAAATGAGCAGGTGTGGCCCTTTCTCCTTTGGAGCACTCATCATACCTCATACTGGTCCTGTTTTATTTTGTGTCACAAATATTTGTGCCCAGGATGGAGTCGAGATAGCTTGAAGAAAGAAGAGATTATGTGATAGGGAGTGGGAGAAAACTGGATGAAGGTCCTGGGAGTGTCAATAGGATGATTTGTTGTGCACCCAGTGGGAAAGCTTGTCTGACTGCCTCTGGGGGTTCAGTAACCTGTGGACTAGATTGGGGAGGGGAGCTGGTGAAAATGACCTAGGACAGGGGTTTGGCCATCCACGTGTCAGTGCTAAGGACAGTGAGCCAGTTAATGGCCTCCGGTTCCTTCTCAGATGACAGTCTATACTTACCTGTTCTATTGGGATGTATCCCCTCCTTAGAAAACATGAGAAAGCAGCTGACACAGTGGTTGAACATGGTGGGCTGCTGCGTTAAGTTGGGTTGGATAGAGTCCAGACTGTGAAGGGAGGAAAGTTACTCCTGAGCCCAGATGGGAAACCAGGAAGACGAGTTATGATAAAGACAAAGAAGAGGGTGAGTGAGGAAGGTGAGAGAGGGGGGAGGAGGAATCTGACGATGTGGTGGTCTGAGAGGAAGTTCCTTGTTCAAGGCTAATGGAGGTAGGGGTAGGGGGTGAGCTTGAGATGGAGGAGAGAAGCTGGGTGACACTGAGATGGAGGGAACTTAGATCCTGGCACTTGGGGAGGTTCGCGAAATGGGAGACGTGGAAGGAAGTCCTGAGCAAGAAGGTGGTGGCTGCGGGGAGAGGAAGACTGGGTGTCATCGCTTGAGCTTGAGAAAAAAGGGAGAAGACCTGGAAGCTGTAAGGGCCCCTGAGCAGGCTGATAAATAAAAATGGGAGTGAACCTTCGAGGGGCGTGGCAGTGAGAGCCAGGAGCCCATTCCTCGTCCTGGGGTCAGGGGGCTGGAATCGGGCCTGGAGAGGGTGGCCAGGGAGAGAGCCACAGGCATAGCAGAGCAAAAACCACGCTCCAGAAGAGTTGTTCTGTTTTTCTCCATACTGTGTACAGTAGCAAAAATGTTATTAAAATGAAATTCAGAAGAATATTTTATTTTTTCTGGCATATTTGTGCTATTTTGGTTAGTTTTTAATGATATTTTTGGTATATTTTTACATATTACATATTCTATAATAAAATTTCTGACTGAGAAGTATGTTGTTGGAAATGCATTCCGATTCTTAATGGAAGTGTTAAATGCTGGTGACATTTCATTTCTGCCTGGCTATATTGGGGCCACTGTTCACTTCTGCAGGTATTCCTATTTGCCTGTGATTTCTAGCTGTGACGATAGAGGCAGCTGCAGCATCGTTCCTTAGTGCATGTAACCTTCCATGAAGTCAGAAGGCCTGGGTTCAAGGGCCACGTCTGATGTGTGTTGACTTTGTGATCTTGGGCAGGTCATTTTGTCTCAAAGGGGTCCAAGCAGTTCTCCTGCTTTGGGGGAGGGAGTTTTCTCACTGGGTCGTTCCCTTTGTTACTGAAATCCAGGCCCAGCCTGTCCTTTGACCTGTCCTGTTTGCTTGCCTGGCATCGTCTGGTCCTGCCCAAGGGAAGGCATCCTGGAGTTGTTGTGGCACTTGACCCCATTTCTTGGCAGCAAGTTGGAAATTGACCATGTGGAGTCTGAGGGATGAGTACGTATCCCTCTTCTCCCCCTCTTTAATTAGTCCTGATAACAGGCTAGGAGCTAGGTCATCAATCCCACTTAGCCTTTGTGTGGATTTTATAACAAAAGGATCTGAATGGAAAGCATACCGTATGATGACACACTGGTGTTAAATTATATGAGGCTGAGATTTGGGGGCCGAGATCAGCACATCATGTCTTAGACTTGGATGTATCATGATTTTGTCAAGGCTGTCTTTCTTGATTTGCTTGTGGGAAAAATGGGGACTATAGGCTTGTTGAAAGTACCCTGGTGTTAATTGAGGAATTGATGCCAGCTTCCAGGGAGGTGTCTGGCTTCTTTTTGACTGGCTCTGCCTTGTTCTCAGCCTTTGGAGCACTGGCTGGCATGATGCTTAATAACTGCTTCCCAGTTGTGACTGACTGATGCAAAATGATGAGGGCCTGAACTGAACCAGACATTGATGGTGGTGTCTGTCCTTTGTTCTTGAGGAGGATCATGACATCAGGAACGTGACGTCATGGCGTGCAGTAGACATGACTGGAAAGACGAGGATACTTTTGAGACTTCTTGGCCAAGTAGAATCAGCTGAACTTGGCAACTCCTTAGATGTAGGGTGTTTGAGGAGGCCGAGTTAGGGGTGTGCTGAAAAACCAACAGGATGAAGCCCTCGTTCCTGGCCACAGGAATGTTGTGGGGAGAGGAGGTGATTTCAGCCTTGTACTGAGTGAGTCGAAGGGCCAGGTGGGTCATATGTAGGGCATTAGAAATACGGGCCGCAGAGGCTGCCGAGAGTCCTTTGTGTAGAGGTGATAATGAAGCCAATGTCATATTGCTTAATCAGTCAGTAAACATTTATTAAGTGCCTGTTCTGTGCCAGGCGCTGTGCTGAGCCCTAAGGATAGGAAAAAAAGAACAAAAGATGGTCTCTGCCCTCAAGGAGCACACAGTCTAACGGGGGAGACAATAAGCAAACAAACATATGAACAAGCTATATACCAGATGAATAGGAAGTAGTTAATGGAATTCAGAGGGTTTGGGAAAGGTGGAATTTTAGCTGGAACTTGAAGGAAGCCAGGGAAGCCCGGAGCCCTTGAGGAGGGAGAGTGTCCAAGCATGGGCAACAGTCAGAGAAAATGCCTGGAATGGGTGTCTTGTTCCTAGAAAGGCGAGGAAGCCAACGTCTGTCACTGGATCCGAGAGGACGAGGAGGAGAATAAGGTGTAAGAAGGCTGGAAAGCAAGGCTGGCTGCAGCTGGGTGTGGCGGGAGATGGAACCGTGGGAGTTTGGAGGAAGAGCAGCTGTGAAGAGGAGGGTCAGTGAATGAGGCAGGTATAGGAGGATTGCCTAGTAGCAGCGAGGGCCCAGTTGAGGTTGGGGAACAGAAGTTTGTAGTGGATCCAATCAGAACGGTTCCATGATTTTCTCCAGTCTTGTTTAGTAGCATGGGGAGAAGTCAAGGCAGAGAATGATGGCAGGGATCCGAGGCTGAATGAAGCTTGGCAAGATGACAAGGTCTCAAGAGAAGACAGTGTAGGCAAGGGGTCAAGATGGGAAATGAGAGAGAGAGTGGTCAGTGCAGGGGACATGGCCGGGGAGAGAATGAGGGCCTCATCTTCTGCTTCTTAAGGGAGTGGAAGGAGAAGAGGTCCTGGGGCAGATTGTGGGGGATGCCCATTTAGTGAGTAGAAGGAGGAAGATGAACCAGCTTTGTATTAGCTTGTAGGAGAAGCTGAAGAGAGCAGCGTCGTGTGAACCAAGGTGGGGGGCACCCTAGCCAAATACTTCCGAAAAGTCAGTAGGAAGAAACCACCTGGCGATGAAGTGACCTTTGAAAGAGCAGATTAGTAAAGTGGTAGAGAGAGAGCCAAGTGAGGGGGGATCAGGCAGTGAAGGCAGTGAGTGAAGACCCTAAGAAGAAAAGGTGACTGTGTGTGGCTAGATATGATTTTGTGAAGTGTGTGTGTGTGTTCGGGTGGAGGTGCAAAGGTAAAGGAGAAGGGTTCTGTTTTTTAGTAGAGCATGTGAATTGATAATTTATGAAATTGTGAAATGGGTGTGCCTGGTTTTTGGGGTACTTGCTAGGAAAGACAAAACCACAAAGGCAGTGGAAAACTGGACCGCAGTCGCACTAATGACCCCAGAGGACA